GGTAAAACAATTACATAATATTATTCATACATTTATACTTTCATTTCAGTAAATATTTTAATAAGTATCAAAAGTTACAATTTAAAACAGATTTTAATGTACTTTTTAGACGATTTAACTTGTGTCCTGGGTTTTTGTCAACACAGTCAGACATGTTTTTTAAAAAAAAAAAAAAAAAAATCAGGAATAATTGAAGGCTGCTAAAAGTCTGAGGACCCCTTTATCACTTCCTTGTTCTTTCTAATGCTATGAGACCACTCTAGCTCTGGTAAGTTTTTTTTAGATTCTATGTATTTTACACCTCCTTGTTGACACCTCGCATCTCATAACCATAGTGTGTCAGCACCATAATTAATGTAATGCAAGATTTGTATCATATTTTCTCTTATAAATTCTTAATTTAAGTAGATTATAGAGGTCACTAGCAACTAATGATAAACAATGGCTCCTGTGATGAGCACATGTATTTTGAGGGGAAATATGGTATTTTGTCAATTCCGTCAGATGTCAACCCCATCAGGATTTGTGTCTGACGGTGCTGACTGTCTCTAAGACGGTGTTGACAAATGCCACTGAAGTGCATTATTCCTCATTTTAGTATATTTACTTTAGTGACATTACTTCCTAAACATTTGATATTACTGTTATTCAGTTTCATGTGTTGAATTTTAAGCAATTGCCACAAAATAACTTTGTTTTGTATTGAATCTCATTTTCATAGCCTCTCAAGTACTCAATATGTAATAAGGTGTTGCTTATACTTGTGCATCAGAAAAGTATACTGACTGCATAATGAAATGCATTTCAGGCCATAATGGTTAGTGAGAAGCTATTAGTGAAGGAACGAAAGAGAAGGAACAGTAAGTATCAAAAAAGAAGGTGAAAAAAATTTATGAAACGTCGACTTGATGGCAACAGATGTCTCTCTAAAATCCCAATTTATGCCTCGGTCAGAAGTACCTTCACACACATACAGCTCACCCATGCCGTAGATACTGATGCACCCCCATATCTATGACTGATCCTGACAAATTCAGAAATAAATAAATAAGCATCTGATTAAATGCCCAAAATATAAAGTAGATAAATAAATAAATGTAGGTAGTAATTAAAGTATACAAGGAGACATAAATGTATAAATCTCTTTTAATTTGCTTCTTTATTTAGTCACCTTTGTAATAATTAACTTATTTATTTATTGTCCGTTATAATCTTCAACTTTATTTATTAATTACATCTAAAATGTATTTATTTATGTGTTTTAATATTTTTGTATTTTTTTTCTTCCTTTGCATTTCTACCCTATTTATTTCCACAATGGTTATATATTTCTGCCTCCTGTTTTTACATTTCTCTATGCATTTCTGCCTCATTATGCAAATGAGGAGGGGCTGTGTCTCCATACATACCACCCAGTACCTTTCGCTGAAATTTTGCCACAAAGGTGGGGCGCTCCAATGCATCCTTACTTGCAAAGACTAAGCCTTTGGTGGATGCTACTTTTATATCCAGTCAGGACTCCTCACCTATCAGTTATTGTGGAGTCTTCCAAACAGGTGTTACTTGAATATTCTGTGCACTTGGGGTTTGTAGTTTGTGTACAAGCAGCATATATTTGAAGAGGTTGTGGACTTTACAATGGGGTTATGTTCATGGACTATTCCCTGTAAAGTCCCTCTACTCCCTTGAGATGTTAATCCAAAAAAAGATTGGTTATATAATGTATTTTCTTCGTATCTTATAATGTTACAATATTTGTGAGAGTTCAATGATAATTTTGAATTAAATATCTTACAAGTTTGTCACCACCGTCAGTTTTGTGTCAACACTGTCGATGCCTTGTCAACTCCATCAGATGGACTTTGTTGTTTTAAAAAAAAAAAGACGATATGTTTTGTTCCATCAAGAATATTTGTCTATAACATTGTTGCATTTTCAAAGTTAATGTATAATTTGAACACTTGACACATAAGGTCATTCAAAATTATTTTTTTGACATTTCTATGTTTCTGATGGTGTTGACAAAAATCTAGTTCTGATCCCGCAAAACATCTGATTTATGACAAATTAAAAACTGGGAGGTTGTTCCAAAACATGGTTATATAGCCAAAGCCTCATTTAACAAAGATGTATACATAGTTTTTTTTTTAAATAATCAAGATTTATTTTGTCCCTGATCTCAAGAATCACAGAAGTTATGTACATGTCCCATACTGTGTCTGAGTATTCTGATGGAGTCCACTGTACACCTAAATTCTCATTAAGTCACGGTCTTCAGATATTCTTTAACACTAGTCTACTGCATGCATTTAATTTATGCAAGTCACATCACTCATCACCGATCGATCACTATGTTCCATTATAGCAATCAGACGCTTTTTTTAGTGCAGCAGCTTTCATTCATTCTTTCATCAGCTGATTTTACTCGCAGCTGCTTTCATCAGATGCAGTAGGTGAGATCGGCTGGATTTGCTTGCTTCATTAGAGACTTTAGTGCAGTTTAGTGACTTGTCCGACTCCTAGCTTCTTTAATATGTTTTATTGTCGTCTATTGGACTAAACACAGGAATGACCAGCCTCACATGTAACTGAATGGAAGACGATAAATTATGTAAAACGTGTTTCTTGCTGACAGACTCTCTGACTCTGACTATAATTGTCTCCATAATAAAAGTTGATGGCAGAAATAAAAGAAAAATAAAATCTTTCTAATAGGCTAAATGAAGAAAGTTGTGTGTGGTGCTTTTGTTGTTCAGACCTACAATGAACTCAGATTTTAACTAGACATTGAATCATAAAACAAATCAAATATAGCCTAACTCTTTGCAGTGATACACTCAATCTGTGGTGATGTGTCGGTCAGTAAAAGACTTCCGCGAAGTATGCACTGGTGTATCATCGCTCATAGCTCCTCAGAGATCGATCCTCGTTCCTCGGAGCGCAAATAATGCTGCGTTCCATTTACCTCGGAGGTTGGAGGTCGGAGCTGGGAATGACGTCACACCTGAGTTGACGGTGTTCCAGTTAACAAGTCGGAAAACCTCACTCGGCCAGCTGTTTGTTTACAACTAGCCAGGTTAGCTATTGATACGCCGGTTGATTAAGAAAACGCATTGTGCGGTATTTACTCACACTAAACACTGTAGCAACACGTCCACAGACATCTTGGTGTACGAACATTTATATGACTCGCAAGTACACAGAAGTGCTAATAAACAGTATAAACTACAGCTTTCACTAACTGTTGATACCCCGACAGCCATCTTGGATCACAAACTCGGGGTAGTGCGGTTCTCCCAACTTCCCAAGTCGGGATTCCGACTTAAGGGGGCGTTCCCTTTGAAATTTTGACCTTTGAACTTGGAAATTCCGACGTCCCATGTCAACTGGAATGCACTATGGTCTCAATCTGTGTTCTTGTCTGTACTTGTGTTCTTATGAAACATCATCTTTTGTGGCCCAAATACTGTCCCAAT